ATCATTGACCTTCTGCTCTATGTCAGGCACTATGCTTGACCGCAGAGCTTTAAGAGACATGTCAGGCATGGCCCCTGCTCTCTTGAAGTCTATAGCCTAGGAGATAAGTTCAATGAGCAAGTCAGAGGTAAAAGTACTTATGGTTAGAGTTATGTGCAGGGTTCTCTGGGTGGTGTGGTGAGATTAGAGAAGAGTTGGCTGAGGTTGTGTCCTGAACTGACTTTGAAGGATGAGTAGGAGTTAGCTAAGGGAGGGAGGTGTGACCCAGGACCCAGGATGAATATACCGGTCAGATAATGAGACAGTCTTGTGGTTGGCCTGGAGGGCTGGAAAGAGCATAAAAGAAAGATCTGCCTAGAATTTTCCATCCCTGGGCAATTATCATGAATGTTATATAAAACACTGTTACATAAAAATTCTAAAATTTACAAATGATCTGACAAACCTCATATCAGTCTCTCAGGTAAGTGCTGAAAATGTCAATTTCATAATAAAATAAAAGCTGATTTCATTTGTTTGATCTCTATTAAAGCCAGTAGAAATGATTTATTGATTTTTTTAAAGAAAAATATATTTTAAAATGTCACTTTTTTGCAAGGAATTCGTTAATAGATGCGGAGTTCTCATATACCCCCAAAGCGCTTCTAGTACAAAATGTTAAGTTTTGAGAAAAATCAATAGAATCATCAGAAAACTCATGCAAAGATGAATAAAGAGCAAAACAATTCCATGTTTTGCAGCCAGTGCTTGCAGTCAATGGTTTTTTTTAAGTTTCAAAGTTTGCATCTTGTCACTTGTTGCCTGAGTCCACATGTACCTTAATGTTTTGTTCTTGTGTTTTAATGCCATAAAAATTGAAGCTAACACAAGAAAATGAAGAATGCTTTCTGAGCACAGCTAAGTCAGTACTAAAACTCACGACAAGGCATGTGCACTCTGTAAAGCCTTGTGTGGTGGCTCCCCATCCTGTCAGTGTGCTCGTGGGTGGACACTAGGTAGAAGTCTATTTGGAGTTGAATGCCTGGAGGAAGTTTGTTCCTCCCAATAAACTTTCTTTTGTCAGACAAGATGTATGTATCTTGCCTTTCTCTTTTTAACTTGGCTATCAGGAAGCTCCCAGCCACAAACCTTGACTTAGGGTTTTTTTTTTTTTTTCATTCTGTCTACCACCTCTTCATTTAACTAAATTCTTTAAAAAAAAATCCTAGAACATCCACTTTTATTGAAACTGCCTAAAATCCTCTGTGGAAGTACAGGTTAAAAACGATAGGTAAGAAGGTTAAGAAAGATTAAGAAATAATGAAAATGTCAAAGACTTATGGTTTATTGGAGTGATGTGGTAGTAATTGAACGTGAGCACTGGTTGTTCAGGTCCTTACTGTAGAACGGCAGTTGTCAAGGTGGATAGAACATGCCTTTCCTAGTCCAGAGGAGGCCTATATTTCTCCTACCTACTTACCTGTGCACTAAATAGAATGGGCAAGCATTTCAGAGGAATTTGTATAGCGTGATTTTTATAAATTATTATTGCTACAAAATATTATTAAATAATATTACATATTAATATTGCATAACAGTGTGTATGTTATTATTTGCATAATAGTCCACAATTAGTAAGTCATTGCAAAATATTGTGACACCTGTCACCAGTTTGGGTTAGAGAAGCAGAGAAAACAGACCACGACCTGAGTACCCGAGAATCTTTCTTCATGTGCCTGTGCTGAGTTTTACCTCCCGGCTGAAGCTTATTGCTGGTAACTGATTATTAAAAAGCTGAGGTTGCCGAGAGTCACTGGCTCTAGGCAGAGGAAATGTTTCACCAAAGCAAGGTGGGAGAAGGCAAATACACTGGCTTAGTCAAACAAAAACTTGTGTTTTAGCTCCTTATAAGTTATGTTTTTTGGAGAAATAAACATAAAATAGTCCTAGTTGAATGTCTAAGCTCCGCACAAAATAAAGGGAATTTTAGACAAACTTGCCAAAATGGTGGCATGAGAAGAAGAGTGGAGGATCGAGGACTAGAGCTAGTTCTGCACTGTCTAGGTCTGTAGTTTCTCTAAGCTTTAATTTCTTCATCAGAAAAGAGAGGGGCTGAACCTAGAGCTATTCAGTGGGTCCCTAAGATGAAAGAGAGCACAAATTTCTCTGCTGAAATTCAGCTAAATTGAGGACCTTATGGTGTCTTCCAGACACATAGTGATGTGTGATACACACAGTCTTATTTTAACACAGAGAACTTGAAAAGTGAGTGTCATCATTTTACTACTAACTAATCTTGGGTTTGGGTACTTAGTAGGTGCTTGGTAAAAGGTCTTTCGTTTATGATAGTTCCTCCTTCAACCTGCAGTCAGTGAGATAAGCACTTTGAATAGTACAATTTTTTCTTGGAGAAGTGAGGCTAGACCTGTGTAGGGTCCTCGGCACTCGCCTACTGTGTCCTCTCGTGGTCTGTGGGATAGACAGGAGGGTGTAGATGTCTCCAGTGGGCAAAGCTCATTCAGGGAGCCTGGAGCCCGGAGCCCAGTAGTGAAGAATGTAGGCTCTGAAATAAGAGACATTGCAGTCCCTTCCAGTCCTACCACTCACCTGTTTGCTGTGTGACCTTGGGCAAGTAATTTAACCTTGGTGCCTCAGCTTGTTCAGATGTAAAATGGGGAAACAACTGATCCTACCTCTTCGAGTTAAAAGTGCAGAGCATTTTGGACAAATGTCTGATACATGGTAAAAGCCTGATAAAGAACAGCTCATCTTGTTTTATTGCTGCATAATATGGAGAATGAACCTGTGACCTGGATCTTACCATGACCCTGTTGTGATCATCTTAAAGGAGAATTAGAAAGGAATGGTGGAAGAAGGCCCTAGAAACCCCTAGGCGAGCAGGAAAGATGGTGTTAAACCACTCCTCGGAGACTGATGCTTATGCTACTCTTACAGCTCTTCAGGGAATAAAATTACCTCCCGTTTTCACTAGCCTAATTCAATGTCTGACAACTTCTCTCAGTCGGGAAGTTACTCCTTCTGTGTGGCTTAATTACCTATTGTTGCGGTTTCAATTTGGGGTGAAGGAAAGGATAGCGGGTCTGACGCTGAGATACAGGGTCTGCTGCGGAACTGCTGGTTGGACACGAACACTCAAGCGTCGGTAATTGGTGCAGGGCTCGGTTACACCCTGTCGAGATGTTGTGTCTTCTAGACAGTGTTCTGCGGGGTCCCAGGGGCTCTGTGTGCGTGCTTGCAGGGCCACCAGGATGGATGGCAGGGGAGGGGGCAGTGATTGGGGACCTAGAATAAATACTTGGCTTTGGACTCCCACCCACGATATAACCTAAGCATGTTTACTCTTTCTCTGTGCTTGTGTGAGAGATCACACCAGGAGAAGGGGTTCTGCAGATAAAAGAAAAATTTGAAAACCAGGAGGTCAGTGTACTTCCCTCCCCAACAAGCCACACTTGGCAGCTGACTCTGTTGCTTCATGCCTCTGTCCCCCTGTGCTACCTGCGTGAGGTGGCTGTGTGTGTGTGTGCGCGCGCGTGTGTGTGTTTGTTCCTTTGCTCACAGTGATGATAGCAGAGGGAGGATGAATAATAAGATTTATGGGAAGATGAACTTCATGAATCCAAAACATAATTATTATGAGCCCCCTTTTATGTGTTTGGGGGAATCCTCCTGAGCTAGCCTTGTGTGGGTGGGCCCCCTGGGAATTGATAGGGGGTTTTCATCTCTAGCCTGTATGATAGGGTGGCATGATTGAAGCCCACGGTTGAGAGCAGAACCATTTGGCACACCCTGGCCTAGTGAAATAGGTTTGGAGGGATATTGACCAAAATGAAGGGAGTGGGTGTAGATTGTGCACGGAGAGATTGATGTGCTCCGACTGCTGCGTGTAACGGGCCTGCAGGGCCCTCCCTCCAAACACTGCCCCAGGAGGGTGCCAAGGAAAGGTACTCAATCTCCCTGAGCCCTGCATCCTCGCCTCTGACAGACGACCGAGTGGCGTCCTGATTTGTAAGGAACGGCCACAGAGGTGGTGGCCTTGGAGAACCAGAGGGTGCAGAAGGCAACCCCTCTGCCAGCCCGACTGCAGGACTTGGTCTTGTCCCCTTCCCCTGAGTGTTAGCAAGAACAGCGAGCCCCACTCAGGACCCAGTGTGATTAGGGGAAAGCCGTGGCCCAAAAACCCATGTTCGAATGGTGAGATCCCTGCCCACACTTGGTGGTAAATTCCAGATGGATGTAAATTTCTCTTTGGATTTGTCAATGGTTTTCCCTGCTGGGCCAGTTGCTCAGATGGAAATGTTTAAGGTTATGCTGAGAACAGCCTTAATTTTGTGTGATGTATGATAGGAGGCACTTTACATAGCTAGCTAACCTAATTCTTACAGCCACCCTGGGGGGTTAAGTGGTGTCTTCTCTATTATACGGAGGAGGAATCTGAAGCTTAAAATTTATAATAGTTGGTGGAACTAGTGTTAGAATCTACCTGTGATTGATTTTTAGATGTGAGACAAGAGGAAACCAGATGCCACCCTGTACTGCTAAAAAAAATGGACTGAAAGCAGCTTTATGTGTAGCAGACTTCCCTTAACACATGAACTGCCTCCCTATTTCTGTAGCTGCTGTCTCCCTCCCTCCCTCCTCTCTCTCTTTCTCTCTCTCGAACACACACACACAGACACACACACACACACACACACACACACACAGACACACTTACTTACAATCGATCACAAAGACTTATTTCTTCAAACTGTTTGCTAAGCCAGAAGCAATTGGACCACTCGAAATGATGCGCTGGTCATCCCAGTTCCTTTCTCCTCTCACCCTAAACGCCGATCAGAGCAACCTGCGGTCTGTCCCGTTACTGCTGAATGACGGCTGCTGTAAGTGCTCACTACGCCTGAACGAATGAATGAGTGGTGAATGGTGGTAGCAGCAGGGGCGATGACTCTGGGAAGAGCCTGCCCGTCTGCCCACAGCCATCCGCGGTCCTCTCTTCCCAGGGTGGCATGATCGCTCTGCTGCTGTCCATCTTGTGCCTGGTGATGATCCTGTACACTCGCCGGCGCTGGTGCAAACGCCGCCGGGTCCCCCAGCCCCAGAAAAGCGCCAGCGCCGAGGCAGCCAACGAGATCCACTACATCCCCTCTGTGCTGATCGGTGGGCACGGGCGCGAGAGTCTGCGCAACGCCCGCGTGCAGGGCCACAACTCCAGCGGCACCCTGAGCATCCGGGAGACGCCCATCCTGGATGGCTACGAGTACGACATCACCGACCTACGCCACCACCTGCAGCGCGAGTGCATGAACGGAGGGGAGGACTTCGCCAGCCAGGTCACCCGCACCCTGGACTCCCTGCAGGGCTGCAATGAGAAGGCGGGCATGGACCTCACGCCAGGTGGGGATGGGAGGCGGGTGAGGGGTGGGGGTGGCTGTCTGGTCCTTTGTCCCGGGGAGCTGGGGAGTGGGTAGGAACAGCTGATGGTCCTGCATAATGGGATGTGCCGTGCCCTTTTGGTGGGTAAGAATAACTTGTTTCCTGAGACAATGGGAGCTGTTTTCTAATCTTGAAAATCGGGGGCATAGTGGAAATTGGATCTCTTCCCATTTCCAGCACACATTGGGTGCCGAGATATGTTAAATCCAACAGAGGAGCCTTTTTGGTGTATAAAGAGCAACCCTCTCACAAATAAGCAGATAGCAAGAAAAATCAACATATGTGTACAACTGTACAACTCACCTGTATATCGTATATTCGCTTTGGCAATTTAATTCTCCCATGAAGTGGAGGGGACAGTTTTTATCTGTTTTTTTCTATGACTTCTGAGAGTTGGGCCTGGGGTACTTCAGTTGTGTTGTCTTGCCTATATCTCTGTGGTTTCTACAAGGGATGTACTTCTTTAAAGACAAGATGAAGGAATGCAACCAAGGTATCAGACCTCAGTGCGTCGTGTATCTGTAGAGACACTGGCTGGAAGAGACTGGACCTAATCCAGCTGAACAAGATCAGGGTTGAAAAATGCAGAGAGGGAAGGACTATTCTTTACAGTAGCCCACCCGTCTCTCTTTCAAACCCTTATGAATAAGCAAATCCCCATAGACGAACCCTTGACGGTGATTCTTCGAAGCACTGCCCAATTATCTTTAAAGAAGACATGTATGATGCTGAATGTTGCTTAAGATAGATGGACTTTCAGTAGGGCTTGCAAGCGTGGACTCACACAGAGGTTCCCATTCTGCTTGTTATCTAGAAGAGAGTCTGTATGAATAGCCAATTCCTAATAAGGTTTGAAGTCCGGGAACTCCTTGAGAGTAGGACGATGAATGGTGCTCAGAGGTTACCAACTCCAAATGCCTTTAGGGGGCAGACAGACAACACAATACATGAAGCTGGGGTCAGACGATGGAGAATGGTGTGGAGTGTGGTGAAAGAGAGAGGGTGTGTTCTGCCTGAATGCACTCAGGTTCCACACCTTTTAAAACCCCGTGCTGACCAAAAGAAACGAATCTGCAGTCTGTATTTAGCCAAAGGGTTGCAAGTGGTGACCTTATCAATACAGAATTAATTGAACTGCGTTTTTGGTTGTAATCCCTGACTTCATTGCTTCTCCCATAACTTTGCAGTCCCCTAGAAATCCAAGAGGAGTATTTCAGTTTCTTCCTGCCAGTCTCTCACTTTGCAGGTTCCTTATTTCAATTCTGTGAAGCCTCATCTATTGGGTTCATGCTGATTTTCTTGCTCTCATTTTCTCTGTTTTTTTTTCTCTTAAAGTCTTTGTCTTGACTTTTCCTTATACAGGCAGTGACAATGCCAAGCTGTCGCTGATGAACAAGTATAAAGATAACATTATTGCCACCAGCCCAGTGGACTCCAACCACCAGCAGGCCACCCTGCTCTCTCACACCTCCAGCAGTCAGAGAAAGCGGATCAACAACAAAGCAAGAGGTATGCATGTCTGACGTAGGGCTGCAGGTGGATTCCTTACTGTCGGCAGAGACGGCGCCATTAATGCCCTTAACTCACACTCCTGTGCATGGATAGAGGGGCTCTGCCCTGGCACGGTCTTCCTGCAGGCAGTTAAATGCTACTTACCAAAAAATTTGAATGTGTAAACCTTTTGACCAAGTAATTTCACCAACAAGAATTTATCCTTAGGAAATAATTGGACAAGTGCTCAAAGAAGTGTGTAAAAGGCTGTTCATCACAACATTGTTTAAACAAGCGAAAAATTGGAAATAGCTTAAATGTCCATCAACGGGGAATTGGTTAACTACCGGGCACATCTGTCTGCTGTCCAGTGGCTCGCCATGCAGCCATTTGAAATGATAATATAGATCTATATTTGTTAATATGGAAACTTGCCCACCCATCTATTAAATGGGAACAAAATGAGGTTATAAAATAGAAGGTACAGCATAATGTCATTTTAACGGGGGATTAAAAAACCTTTACCTGTTTCTGTATCAGAAAAAGATAAGGAGTATATATATCAAATATTAGCAGAGTTTTTCTCAGATTTAGGGTATTCGAAGGACATCAGGGTTATTCCCTTCCCACATTTCTATGTATTTTCTTTATTCTCTTCTTTTTGCATTAAATACATACATTCATTCTAGAACCCCCCAAAATCCATAAAAACGTAATATCCCACACCTCTTAAAACAGAATTTAAACCTCATATTAACAGAATCATAGCCTGTAATGGAGAAAATTTCCCTTTCTTCCTTTTCCAGCCACCCTCCCGGGGTGTCCCCTTGGGTCGGTAGGTGCGAGAAATGGCCCTAGTCAGCGGGAGGTGGCTGAGGGGGGCAGACTCCAGTGATTGCTGTCATAAGGGTCTACTTTCCAAACAAATTGTGTGTGAGGTGGTCCCAGTCCCCTTGGCTACTTTCCCCAGATTGCCAGTCTACTTGCTCCCATTGTTATCGAGTTTTGTCGAACTTGCCCAATGATTTGGTGTCATGAAGACAGCACTGAAAATGATGTCTTGGCCGTGCTCCTTCCCACTACAGCTGGTTCCGCCTTCTTGAACCCTGAAGGGGACTCTAGCACAGAGGCAGAAAACGACCCCCAGCTGACCTTTTACACAGACCCCTCAAGGAGCCGGAGGCGCAGCAGAGGTAGGAAGGACGGCGGGGCAGGAGGGGGTGATGGGGATCGGGATGGGGAGGCGGGAGCTGTGGACGTGGTGGGTGGGGTAGGAGGCTCTGTGGACCAAAGCCGGTTTCTGCAGGAAGAATTCTTGGACCACACCTGGTGTTTCCTCCTAAGGAAGAAAGAAGAGCCTAGAGTGGAAATCTTCAGAGAATCATCTCTCCCAGATAATGGCACTCTCAAACAAGTTTCCAAGTTGTTTGAAAGGCTATTTCTTGGTCAGAAGATTCTCAATTCCTTCTGGAAGCCTCGGGAGTCCTATTTTGCTGTTTACACACAGGAAGTAAAGTTGATGAAGTGTGTCATTAGTGAAAAAAATGAATAGTGTACGTGCCCCTTGTCTTCTCAGCCACATGGGCCTTGGGATTGAGCTGGGCAAGGGTGGGGGCAGGTGGTTGGGGGATGATCTATGGCCTGAGAATGTGTGGAATTGCTTTGATCTCTACACCCCTGCGTGGTAGAACTACAGGACCCTAAGCTTCCAAGTCCCCTCCTTCCTCGTAGCAAGGTTTGGGTAGCTAATCCGTCCTCCCCAGCACTGGCAGAGCTGTCCTCCCGCACAGCTGCTATCTGGGCCTCTCCACTCTCCTGTCCAGTGGCTCCAGGTGTGACCATGGCAACTGCAGCTGCCACTACCCATGACTTTGCTGCTATTGCCATCATCACAGAGGATGTTCTGGGTTCACGCACCGATTGGCTTCACCATTTACTTGCTATGTGCTATTGGATCAGGACAACAAATTCTCTTAGCCTAGTTCTTTCACATATTAAGTGAGTTAACAATACCTCATGCACAGGGCTACATCAGGATTAAATTATATTAAAATGTGCCTTTTTAGGTGACTGCTAATACACTGTGAAATTCCTACCATTGTTGCTATTAGAACTCCCCATGGTGCAGACTTGGGTTTCTGCAGTGCCCTGTCTCGAAGAGTTCTGGACAGAGTCCCTTAAGATATAATGCAGGACATCTGAGTGGCACCACCTTATGCTACATTCAATAGCATTTCCCTCAACCAAGAGTCAACCAATGCCCCCCCAAAGGACATATGCCTTTTGGCTGTCTCCCACCTCCACTTGAGTTCCCTTCATACCAGTGTATTCTTCACAGAAACTGGAAGAAGCCCTTTTAGTTGTAAATTCTAGTTTCTACAGGCTTCGCTGCTATCAGTGTAATAAAAATTCTTTCCACCATTTTTCTCATGTGATCAGTGGGGCTCTGGGTATTCTGATGTCTGATGCCCCACTTTTCCTGGAGTGAGATGTGGTTTAGGGTCTCCCCATCTCCTCTGATACTTGTTGCATGTTTACAGACAGCAGGGACTCAACCTAGGCCCAGCCAACCTCGGCCTGATCAAAGCAGGATGTGTCCTGCTTTAATAAAGTCTTGTTTAAGAAAACCCGTGGTAAGGAATTAGAATGAGTTTCTTTACAGCGTGAAACTGTTTCTTTTAAATATTAAGCTTTCCTAATGCATCAACTGTTTATTGCTATATTAACCAGACTGGAAGCTTCTTAGGGATGGGGCAGGCCTAATTTATTTTTCCAAAGTGCCTAGTGAAGGATTTTGCCTATGGTAGATGCTTGTGTTTGTTCAATTGGACTGGATATATCCATCAGTCCAGCAAAAACATTTTATAATCCCCCTGCTATGGATAAGGCTTTGTGATAAGTTGGTAGAAACACGGAAACATGGCACGGTGATAAGGCTTAATTTAATAGTATAAATAAAGTCAAGTCAGTACTCAGAAGAGAGACCAGGTGATTCTACCTGACAGCAACAGGAAGCATAAAAAAAGAAAAGAATTAGAAATGGGTTATATATAAGGTGTAGGATTTTTTGAAAGAGAAGTCTAGGCATTTCAGTAAAGGGAAATAGCACATGCGAAGCCTCGAATGCTTAAAAGAACATGGTGTTTTCAAGGAAGTGAAAGTGACTGAACATGGCAGCTGGTGTCCAGAATGGAAGTCCGTAAGCACCCAGAGATGGCAGGGGTGTGGCTAGAGAACAGGCTGGCTAGCGAGGGGCACACGCAGGCCGCGTGTCTGAGTTTGCCCTTGCTTCTATGGGTGGAAGGGAACCACTGGAGGTTCTGAAGCCAGTCAGAGATGCTGGGTTATGGGTTGGTGATGCAGAAAGACCACAGAGCCAGGAATATCAATAGCAAGTTATTGCAATCACAGGGGCGGCGATTGCCGTAAAGAGTGACAACACTGTGATAAGAGGTGTAACAGCAGGGTGCACTGAGGGCTAGAAGAACACCAAAGAAGGAGTGAGAATCTGTTCTTGAAGGTTTCAGGGAAGTGTTTACAGGGAGACGTTGTCTGAGCTGAGACGTGAAGAGTAGGTGTATACCAGGCTGACAAGGTGACAAAATGGCCTTCTGAGGAGGAGGAAATAATATGTGCAAAGTCACTGAGACATAAACGATGATGGTCTAGTCAGGGAGCAGTAAAAAGTTTGCTAGAATGAAGCTTGGGGTACAAGCTTGTGGGTTGTGTAGGAGATGAGGCTGGAAGATCAGCAGAAGCCAGAAAGGACATGGCCTTGACTGAAAGAGACCTGGACCTGATGCTTAGTTGGAGTCATTAAAGCTTTTAAAGAGCATTGTCCTTGTCCACTCTGCTTCGTGAAGGGTCCCTCTGGGGCAGTGTGCAGGGCAGGTGAGATTGGGCGTGGCTGAGGCAGGAGACAGGTGGATGGCGGCTGCTGGAGTCCAGGTGTGAGGTGACAGGGGTTAGGTATGGAGGGAGAAAATGGAGGCCAGAGAAACTGCGGATGCCAAATGACAGAATGGAACAGCATCCGTGGGGGGTTGGTGCAGGGGCTCTGTGGCTTGTGAACAAGAAGGAAGAGTCAGGCATGGCGGAGTTTTCTGACTGGAGAAACCAAGCAGGTGGCAGTGCCATTTGCAGGGCCGTGCAAGTAGCAGGGAGCAGAGTTCGAGAAAAGGTGGCCAGTCCAATTGCGGATATGTTGCGTCTGAATGCCTGAGGGATGTTCTGGTGGTGAATTTGCTGCTGAGGCCTGGGCTGGGCTGGAGATCGTACGTGTGGGGAGATAGACTCCACTGTGAAAGGATAGTAGCATGCACAGAATATTCCCAGGTAGCAAAGAGAGAGGATGCAGAGGCTATACCTTCCGTCCTCTGGGCTCTCTCTCCCAGCTAATGTCAACACACCCCCTCCTAGGACCCTGCTCCCTTAGAGGAAGGGTGCAGCCATGAACCAAAAGCTCATTCTTGTGCTCCTGAGAACGGGAGTTACAAAGACTCCACTGGGCCCAAAGACTGAATAGTGCCAGCTTCCTGTGGGCCACAGTTCAACTGCACCTGCATTCTGGTCCCAGCTCTACTCCTGGGAGTGGCTGCTTGGTCCTAGACCTACCCTACAGCCTCCCTAACCCTCTGTTCTTCTGGGAGAGCTGCCTTCTAAGGTTGGGGTCATCGTCTGTGATGTGAGCCGTGTCATACCCCGAGCACCGGTGCCTGACACACTCACCTCCTCATACGTGTTAACTATCACAGTGAGCTTCATCTTGGAGACTTACTTTCCTCATCTGTAAAGTGGGTAGTTACTAGACAGACTCATGGGTTTATTGTAAAGAAACAACTATTAAACATAAAATAATGTATGTAAAACACTTAGCACAGTCCCTGCCATAACGGATGCCTTTTAGTATTATCAGCAATAAATATTAACATAGAACTCACACATTTTGTTGCCTTGCTTTCTTAAGCATCTGTTATGCCTCCATAAGCATAAGGTCCTTCTGCTAACTATCATTTTAAACTCTCCCCCACAAAAAAAACAAACAAAAAACTAAATAGCCAAACAAAAAACACCCCAAACCCCCAAACAGACAAACAAACAAACCCTTCCGTCCCGGTCCCTGTCTCCACTTTCCCGGGAGTACTTCCCATTCCCCAGCAACGATTATTTCCTCCAGCGACTGACTGCGGGACTTCGAGCATTTCCTGGTGTGACAACACCGTCTACTCATGCAGAGCAGACATGTCCTGTTTCACTCATTCCAGGCCCCACGGAGTAGAGTCACTGGGTAGGGCTCTCGCAGGTAGAGCAGGCAGGAGCTCTTCCAGCTCAGGAGGTTCCTGCTGGAGCGGCAGTTTGCGCCCTGGGAGCGGGAGTGGAGGGCTCTGGGGAGAGTGTCTCTGTGGACAGCCATGGGAAGCTCAGCGTGGGGCTAAACCATCCCACCGCCCTTGGCAAGAGCCGGGTGCTCAGTAAGGTGAGGAGAGGGAGAGGATGCCTCCTGCCATGATTTCTCTTGTGAACCTGGCCCCGGAAGAGTGACAGTGATCAACAGACCATTGTTGACCCTGAAGGCCATCAGTTGGCCAAATCCTCTCTGACTCCAACCAACGATATGGTGTCCATGAGGATGAAGGTCACTGAGGTCATACAGCCAGAGACATTTCCCACCGTGGGCTAAATCTGCCAACTGCCTCCCCGGTTAGCCGGGTTGGGCAACAAAAGGCCAAGTTGGACTCTCAATGCCAAGATTCTTACCGCCATGTGTCTTGCTTGTGTCTTGCTTTCAGTGGGTTCTCCCCGAAGTCCTGTGAATAAGACCACCTTGACCCTGATCAGCATCACTAGCTGTGTGATCGGCCTCGTGTGCTCCTCTCATGTCAGCTGCCCTCTTGTTGTCAAGATCACCCTGCACGTCCCTGAGCACCTGATCGCTGATGGTGAGCCCCTTCTTCCAAGAATGTGACCTTCTCCCCTAGAAAGGAAGGTGTTCAGGTTGGGCAAAGGTTAGAAAGCCAGAGGTCATTGTTGCCTGTTACTATAGCTGGGGGAAAACTAAATTCAAATAAACAAGGTTTAGGACAAGATCGAATTGCCCACAGATGAACCCAGAAAGCGGGTTAAAAAACGAGCTGAAGAGATCACCTCCTCTTTTCTATGCCCACTCTCATCCTTGTTCGTTTTTAAATAAGCCCCTGTCTTTGTAGAGAGATGCAGAGCATACTGGCTACAGGTAGGTAGACACGGAAGATTCTTTTAGCCTTTGGGAAGGGAAAAGCTACGTGGAGCAGTAGAGGTGTTTAAGGATTAGCCATGCTTTGGTTTGGTATGCCCAGGTGAGAAATTCCTAATTGCAGTAACTTGCTGTAAGCCTAGAACTCAGAAGTAATAATTTACTTTCATCCAGGGGGACCCCAATATAATGAGGGAGTAATATAGGTTCTGAGAGTCCCTGAATCATTTAAGCCCAGAGCACCTAATTGACTTGTTAATGTCTGTTCTCTCCATCGCTGTAAGACTGAAAACAGGTGGGCACTGCTCGTGCAGCGTTAGAGGGCCTGCTATTCTTGCAGCACGTGAAGACAGGCGGGGCGGGGGTGGGGAGGACTGTTCCTTGGATGAGCGCCAGTGCCTGTGGCTGGGTCTGATGGAGCCGTGCCATGCCATGGCCATCACAGAGCCACTCTGTCCCTGTGTCCCTTAGGAACACCCTGGAGAGATGGGATGGGGGACGGTGTGGCTGGGGGCCTAACGTCCCTGGCCTCATAGCAGTTCAGGTGATGGCTGAGCCTCCAGCTGATCCCTCACTCTGGGGCTAATGACAGGCAAGGCCTGGTGGCAGTAATGTTCTCGGGTTGGGGCTAATCCCCGGGCTGGGATTCCCTCCGTGTTCAGTGACTCGTGCACGTGTGCTGTGTGTGCCCACACAGGCATGCTTCCTCTCTTTCCCCCTGCAGGGAGCCGCTTCATCTTGCTGGAGGGGAGTCAGCTGGATGCCAGCGACTGGCTGAACCCTGCCCAGGTGGTTCTCTTCTCTCAGCAGAACTCCAGTGGGCCCTGGGCCATGGACCTCTGTGCCCGGAGGCTCCTGGACCCCTGCGAACACCAATGTGACCCCGAAACTGGTAGGCGGGAGCACCGGGCAGCGGGTAACTGTCAGAGAGATCATGCCTCTTGCAATCACTCCCTCGAAGCCCAGACCATCCCTCCCAACTCTGCCGTCCCATTGCCATCTCGAGCCTCGGCCATGCAGGCGACCTGAGCTTGTTGGCCAACACTGTGTGGTCATTTTCTGGCAGAAGCCTTGGCAGGATCCTAGCTGTAGCCCCAAGTCAGAAGGACTGGTTTAAGGTTTAGGATGACCTCCATAGTCTGTTCGTCATCCATTTTGGATATTTAGCTACTGGGGCTAGACATTTTATGATTATAAAATTAATCATGTTTATTGTAGAAAATCTGGAAAATTTAGAAGAGCTTATACAAGAAAATGATAATAATCTATATTTCTAGCTCCTGGATAAATCACTTTTAAAATTTTAATATCCTCCTTTTCAATCTCTTTTTTATGCATGATGTTTAGAGGCTTCCTGAAGCATACCAAGTCTAGTAGAGTTTTCCTACTTTTTTCACCTAACATTCCATCGTGAGAGTTTTTCAGAATCATTAAATGATCATCAACAACATAATTTTAATGGCTTTTGTTATTCCATTGTATGTCTATATCATATCTCATTTAAACAGTCCCCTGTTATTTGACATTTAGGGATGCTTTAACATTTTAATTTTTATAAATACTATTAAAATGAGTATCTTTACACGTAAATGCAGGGCACATTTGAAGTTATTCAGATAAATCTTGGAGAGAGATTATTGGGCCAAAGAGTATGAACATCTTTATCAAATGGGGCTGGGGCTTCCCTGAGCGAGGGTCCAAATTCAGGTATGGCATGGATTAGAGCCCTTGCATGGCTCCTCGAGTTCCGACATACCCAGGAGTACAGATCTCTCATTTCAAGTTGTTTCGCACTTTCACTATAGAAGGGTTCATCTACAGTAGTCTCCACAATGACCTGTTTCCAGTAAATTGAGTACCACCCATACTTCCCAGAGAGGTAGTATGATGTCTCAGAGCAAAGAAAAGAGATGAAGTGATATCTACGACCCCCAAGCAAAATGTTGCCTGAGTTAGAGGCTGACCGCTCAAGATTTTTGTATGTGATGTGCAGCCCCCCTTCCCACCACGCGCGCACACATACACACAAACACACACACACACAATCTTCTTCAGGCACCAAGGTAGAGGGATCTTACTAGAGGATGAGTCCAAGATATCAGCCCTTACTTCTGTTATAATCCTCTACTAAATCTGTTTGTGAGAGTAACAGGTAACTGCAACATCTACGGTTCACCTTCTTAGATCTTAAATTTGTTTTACGTGGGCCCAGCACAGAGATTCTCGGCCCCCGTATGGAGGAGAAAGTACAACATTTTAAACATCTGATGTCTAAGACTGTGCTTACTTGCTTGCTCCTCCCACGCTGTCAGGCAAACACCAAACCAAACAGATGGGCTGTGTACCATGCCTAAAAGCTAGTTTGCTCAAGAGAAATTAAAAAGAGCTAATCTCAGAGGTGAGGGCTCTCCATGCAACTGAGTTAGTCTGTTTTACCCTACTTCTCCAACTGGCTTGGATTAGAAGGATTTGGGACAATCTCGGTTGTTAAACTCACTTCTGAGAGAAGCATGATCTCCAGAGGACCTTGGATGCTTCTACTTGGGTTTTAAAGAACAGAAAGTGCCTCCAATTCCATGTGGAAGGGAGGGATTGGTGTTTTATGCTTTGAGTGATAAACTGCCTCCTTACTTTAGATTAGCATTTAAATTCCTCAAGAAGTTACGTGACTTGTCCAAAGTCCCACAGCTGCCTAAAGCAGAGTCTGTATTCTATCTGTGATGGAATCAGAGCAGGGGTGGGATCACAAAATGTTGCTTAATTTCTCCAGACATATCAGATCCAACGTGTTTGTCATTCAAAACTATTTAAGCACCAACCGTTACTAAACGCTACTGTTCCATGAGCTAGGAAGCTGCTTGTCTGTAGCGATGCTCTCCCAACAACTCTCCAGACCCTTCCAGTGTCTCATTTCTGATCCTTGCTGAAAATGACTTCGGAAAGCCCCTCTCCTGCTAATGGCCTCCCAGTGTCTGTGACAGCTAATGAATTTCCAACTGGAAAGCCACAGAGGAAGATTGAAAATAAGAACCTAGACCCCACAACAAAACTAAGGTGCAACATCTTCATTTTGGGTAACAGCTGAGAAACAATGCTGCAAATACTTTTATTTTCATGAATGCTGGAATTGGAAAGCCCTCCCCCTGCTCCCCCTGCTTCTTTCCGCACAAGGGATGATGTGGTCATCCCACACACTCATCAGTAAGAAACTTTATCGCCTCCCACACTCCATCCTAGAGCCTTTCTCCAAAGAGCTGAGTGTGGGAATTGGCTTCAAATCAAGTCGACATTATTTTTGCAATCCTCCAGCTAGCTTCCTTGGAAATGTCATAGTGTTGGGACACATACTTTCCCAGCCATGCTGAGGGGTCTGCCCGTGTGGATGTGTGGAGCTGTGCAAGTGCACTTGTACACTTTTACACACACACACCTGTGCAAGTGCATAAACACACAAATAACAAACAGATGCTCAGTCACTGCAAAGGAGCTGCTTCTGTGTGGGTGGAGCCCTCCTCAGGCATCCTTCCTAAGAGCGCCCCAAAGCTGAGCACGCGTTCACCCATCACCTGCACAACGCTCTGAACACCAGGTGTAGGAGACAGAATAATGGACTCCTAAAGACGTCCACATGCTAATCTGTAGAACCCGCGAGTGTGCCATGTTACCTGGCAAAGGAGAATTAAGGTTGTGTATGGAATGGAGGTAGCTAAACAACTGGCTTTAAAACAGGAAGACGATCTGGGGGGATTATCTGGATGGTACCAATGTAATCATAAGGGTTTTTACAGTGGAAGAGGGAGACAGAAGAGGAGGTCAGGGTGGTGGGATGGGCGAAGGACTCGGCAGCCATTACAGGATTGAGTGTGGGGAAAAAGGCACGAGTCTAGGAATGTGGTCAGCTTCTAGAAGCTGGAAGAGGCAAGGAAACAGATTCTCCCTTGGCCCCGCCACAAAGGAACGTAGCCCTACAGACACTTTGCTTTCAGCCCGGTGAAACCCATGTCAGACTTCTGGCCTGCAGAACTGTAAGATGAATTTATGCTGTTTTACACCATTAAGTTTGTGGCAATTTTTTTTTTTTTACTGCAGCAATATAAAACTAACACACTAAGGAAGGAAAGAAAAGAGAAAGAGAGAAGGAAAAAGCATTGTTATGCTCCCTTTTCATATCTCCTGGCCCAATTTATAGACCGTCTAAAGATGTGTCAGAAAGCTGTAGAAGAACTGGAGCTGGAGAAAACCTGCCAATCTGTTTTCCATTCCAGCCTTCCTCTCCATTTATATTCTAGCAACGTGCTACCTGGGAGGGATGGAATGTACCTAAAGCTCTTAGCCCAGTGCCTGGAATATAGTAAGCACTAGCAAATGTTCTTGTAATCATCAGGGGTCCAGGGACTTCCTGATTTGAATTTGGATGTACCTGAGAAGTGGTAGACTTGAACTCCAGGGTTGATCTGCCCTTTCCGACCTTCCGCTGAACTCC